TAATGCTTGTCAGTACTGTCTATGCCGGTAGGTACTCAAGATGGCGCTAATAAGCTGGGAAAAGAGCGGATGACGTAAAAGGTCACGTGACTGATATTCATGAATAGATGGAAAACAGACAAATGTTTAGCCTGATTTATTCTTGTGTTTACGAAGATTAAACTAATCTTAAACAGAACTTTAGATTTAGTTGTTGCAGAGTTCAGGTTTTATAAAACCATTGAGTCAAGTCCATCAATTAGGGAGTCAAAGCAGGTTCCAGTCCTGCGTTTTCATTTTTGGTGTTTGAAATCCATTTTATTAGTAGTGCATTATACATGTAAATCTTGCAGATTGCAACTCCCTACCTTCACCTTCCTCTTCAAAGTGTGAAGTAGAAACTCCACGGAAATCTTTAGGGAAAACGGAAGCCAGAAGATCCTCCTAAATGTTACCACCAACATTTTTAGCAATTTGTTAAATTTGTTCCAAACTATATAATATGTAGTAAACATGCTTTTTATGGTATTTAGTAGTATTAAAAGAGACTTTACTGGATGAAAGTGGTGAGAGTCAGTTGATTTATTCATTGAAATCTCTCTAACGTCCGTCCAGGAAACAGACAGACGCCCCAACAGGAGGCAGAAAACAGGTACTTGTACTGAACACACGCACGGACGCACAAACAGGTGTATTTAGTCATTCAGCCTCTCACAGCAAGAGCCTCACTTTGATGTCAGCCACATCAGACAGGGTCCACGCTTCGAAATCAAACAAACCCCCGCCACCACCGCCGCCACCGCTGTCACTTCATTTGTACATTCCTGCAGCTGAGTTACAGCTGGCGGGGAGCTCCACACACACAACCTCCTCCCCCCAGAGAGAGAGCGCATTGTCGTTTAACCCTCCATAAAGTAAGCAAAGGACATTACACTTCCTTGTCCGCAACATCTGCCACCTCGAATTTCCAGTTTAAACATTTGAGCCAGGTTTAATAAACAACAAATCAACTCTCTGTTTAGAAAATATCTTTATATTCCATCCAGGGTAATTCTGTGGTTTAGGAGTGACGTTTGTATAAAGACCTGTGGGAGTGATCGGCCATTAACCCGTGTTTGTGAGCGTGGGTTTGTGACCATGTCCCAGTAAAACACAACAACATAGCTTCAATCATAAATTAATCTCCGTCAAATGAATTGCGATACATGTTTATAATAGCTGCAAACCAGAGAGATCATATTCCAGCTGATTGTATGTGACACCAGTGGTTCACCGAAATAAAAAACACATTTCTCATAAAATCATCCTCTTATTAAACCGTCTTCCTCGTTTGTGTCTTTGTCTTTGCTGAGGAGGATCAACTTATTGTTGGTTACTTTTTCTTTGGCCTTGCATTCATTCGACTATCTAAAGCAGTGGTTCCCAACCTGGGGGTCGGGACCCTTCACTAGGGGACGTCAAAGCTTCACATGGGGGTCCCGAGGCCTTCTTGATTCAAAGGGGTGTTAGAAAACCTTTAAAAATACATACAGTTGCCTATATTTCAGCATTATTATTTGAGATGTAAAAGACCTGAACACAAGATATATTGACAGAGCCTCTTATAAACAGTCTGCGTCCTGCATTAGAAAAGTTCTATGAATGAAAAACACCGTGAGAAGAAAACACTTAATGAATAAATTGTATAAAAAGCTCCTTAAAATATCAGGAAACTTCGTCTCTGACGCAGGAAATTCATCCAGATCTCTTGTTTTACACAAACTTCCTGCAGTTATTGTGTTCACTATTGGGTTCATTGTACAGTTTATTCATTGAATATAATATGAAATGTACATTTTTGGGCCTTAAAACCAAAACAATGAGCTAACAGGCTAAAAATCCCTGCAGTGTTTGAGTCCTTAAAGATAGATTTCTTGGAGTTTTCACTCCTTTCTGGTGATACCAACTATTTATGCTAGGAAAGGATGAGTCCAACAGCTTATCATCCTCAACTGATGTTGCTTTGATACTCAAACAATAAGTTGTAAACATGCAGAACTGAGTTTCACCCCCCGTCTATCTGGTATTCCTTCGGTTCCCAGTCCAAGACTACAGTACAAACAAACAATCAACACTAAACAACCGAAGCACATTCTTCCTCAGCTGCACCTCTGGAGCTCGGCCCTGTGTGTGTGTTGTGTTTGTTGTGTTTGTTGTTTGTGTATTGTAGCGTTCAGTGTGCAGTGTGATTGTTTTATTGTGGTGCTCGAGCGTGGTTGATTGCAGAGCTGTCTCCTCCGAGCTGCTTCACATTCAGCCCAGACGTTCCTGCCAGATGTTAACTTAATCTGATGTGAACTTCTACGTACGTCTCATTCAAACGTGTTCCACAGTTGTATAAACTAGATTTAGACTGATGCAGTTTGAGTATAAAAGCTGGTTAAGACTGAATCCAAGTGGCTAAAACAACATGACATCTTTACGTATCTTTTGTATGACTTTCATGAATGTCTTTAAAGGTCCAGTGTGTAACATTGAGAAGGATCTATTT